AAGAAGAAAGGGATCGAGGAAGAAGAGCTCACGCGGAAAGAAGAAAGGAAGTTTTTGGAGGTGCTCGGCGGGAAGAAGAAAGGGATCGAGGAAGAAGAGCTCACGCAGGAAGAAGGAAGAAAGGAACGAGGGTTTTGGCGGGGCTCGGCGGGAAGAAGAAAGGCTCGAGGCGGGGGGCAAAAGGATCCTTTTCGCGAGCTAAAAGCCTGCCGCTGGGTGGATATAGCTTCCGGCTTTTCTCCCGCTTTCATTTTGCTGTACCGCGACGCTGCGAGTCAAAGTGATTTGGGACCGTGAAGCCGCAAACTGCGGAGTCGCACTTCGCGACCATACGGACTTAAGTGGACCACGTTACGCGCCTCTTCTCCACACGATCATCTTATCGGATCCATTCCTCGTCCTGCGCTTTCCATAGCTCTCGTCCCGTCTACAACGCTAGAGCTTTCTGCTTTCCCATTCTCAAACGAAAGCGGCATCCTAGCGAAATCCTTGCGAATGCGAGGGTACTGATACGCACCTCCCTTTATCGGAATCCTAAAAGGTACTTTCTCTTTGCTATTTTTTCGCCATTCAAAATGTACTAGAATCACAGCAGCAATGCGAGCTTACTGGGCCTATTTTTTCTGTTTTTCTCCTTCTGGTCCGTTCTTTATTTTACCTAATTATTGTGTACTCCCTAGTTGGTATATCGATTTCATGTTTTCTCGTTCGTGCACAGCTATAAAACTCTTTCTACAGATCCTGAAATTATGTCTCCAAGTACAATAAATTTTATCTATTGTTTTTTACTTTTTTTCTTTTTTTTTTTTTTTTTTTTGCTAATATTGCTTGCATCCTGATGTTGGACGAGAAAGGTGTTGTCAGATGCTAACGTTTGTGAAATCTATGAAATTAGACAATGTTAACTGGGATTCATGCCTTCTTTCATATTTATGTGGCATAAGTCGTCAATTTTGATTCTCTATAAGAACATGATAGAATAGAGAAGTAGGGCAAGAAAGGTCATTTTTAAGCATCGGAGATAAATGTATTTTACAATACGTGATGCTAAAAATTCTGCGTTTAATGATCTTTATAATAGATTAGATATTAAGGAGAGTGAAAAATATATGTATAAGCTAGCCAAACAAAGAGAAAAGAAGATTAAAGATTTAACTCAAGTAAAGTGTATTAAAGATGAAAATCAAGAAGTGTTTTTCTTAGAAGAAGATATTCAACATCGGTTGGTGAATTATTTTGATAAACTGTTTAATGAAGTTTCTGAAAATGCGATCGACTTTAGCGATCTTAATATCGTTAATAATAATAAAATGTTTCATTTTTAACGTCGCATTAATAAAAAAGAAGTTGAAGAGACTTTAAAGAAAGCCAAGGGTGGAAAGTCTTTAGGACCTGATGATACCCCAATTGAAGTATGAAAATATTTAGGAGATTTGGGAGTTTCTTAGCTTACTAAACTCTTTAATATTATTTTAAAAACTAAAAAGATGTCTGAGGAGTGGAGGAAGAGTATTTTGGTCCCCAGTTTTAAGAATAAAGGGGATGCACAAGAGTGTGCAAATTATAGAAGAATTAAGTTGATGTGTCATACTTTAAAATTATGGGAGAGAGTAATTGAATATCAGTTAAGACGTATTACAAAGATTTCTCATAATCAATTTGCATTTATGTCGGGCAGATCTACTATGGAAGCTATACATTTATTGAGAAGTTTGATGGAGAAGTTCAGAGATAATAAGGATAATCTACATTTGATTTTTATTGATTTAGAAAAATCTTACGATAAGGTTACAAGAGGTATCCTTTGGAGAGTTCTTGAGAGGAAAAGGTGTTGATATGACTTATATTCAAGTCATTAAAGACATGTATACTAGAGCTGTTACTTGTGTTTGTACTGAAGGAGGTTTGACCAAATATTTTCTTATTTCTGTTGGATTACATCAGGGATTAACTTTAAGCTCATATCTTTTTGCTTTAGTTGTGGATGGTTTTATTGGACATTTACAAAAGGATGTATCTCAATGTATGCTTTTTGTTGATGATATCCTTTTCGTGGATAAGACGAGAGAAAAAACCCAGGAAAAAGTTGAATTATGGAGGTCTACATTGGAGTCTAAAGGCCATTGGA